TCTAGCCACTGTGCTAAATAAAAACCTTGGATTGTTTTGGTTATTTTCTATGAGTGTGCGGATATGCTCGGCCCTGGCAGCTTTTAGAGCCTGTCTATAGCTGGACATACTGTTTTTCCACGCAATTCTAAAAACTTCCAAGTTAGTTTTTCTCCATTTGCGCTCAAGATTACGAGTTACTTTCTTGAGAAAATGGGTATTACTGTTGTACCATGGTGTAGTAAGTTTTTCTCTAACCTTTTTCAGTTTGATGGGGGCAACAGCTTCTAATGTATTAGAGAAGATAGCGCCCATGTTGCTAGTCATTTTGTCTAGTGCATGTGTATTTATGGGTACACAGACCAGTTGAGATAAATCAGGCAGGTTATTTCTGAATCTATCTTTAATGGTTGGAACAATAGTTCTTCCTGGACGATAATGCGGAGCCATATAGTTAATATCAGTAATACGCAGCATGCATGATACAAGGAAATGGTCAGTAACAACCCTTTTACATTGCGAGTAAATCACTTACATATGCGACTAAATCTTCACTAAATGATGTCTAATATTAGCCAATTGATAATAAATTCTCTGACTTTACTTGCCAGTGTGTGAGTTGGAGGCTAAGAATAAGTTTAGCACAGATATATTTTCACTTGCCGAACACTCTGACTGAGAGCTTCAGAGTTTCATTCTCTGTCAAGCAATCTGTGCTATTTCTCAGTTCATCTGAATGGATGCGCAGCACACCTGTATTTGACGTACTGTGAACTCTAGTGTAAAGGTGCACACCTTGCCGCCACTTTGTCTCACACACACACAAAGAGCGAGCGAGAGAGTCTTGCATACCATGCAGAATTGACGCACTACATGTAAATGATATTCTTTGTTGTATTTTCCTGTCAAAATAATGGAGTTCCTTGGGAATTCTTCAGCTTTTAAGAACTGCCGGGTTCTCCGGTAGTGGGCGGAACTAATGCGCAAACGACAACCTCACTGAATAACCAAAAAAGCAGCACCACTAGTCCTACATTCAGTTAAAATGACTAATATGCATTCATACATGGTTTTAATTATAATTACTAAAGTTCTACCATTAAATAATACTTGAATATCATATATAATGCTTGACTGACTGATGTTAAGAATGCAGTACTTCTCAAGTAGCCTACTGTTCTGTAATCAGCAGTAAATCTCCATCACGTGCATGCTTTCACATGGAGCAGCATTTACTACACAGAGCCGTTGTTTACTGACAAGCTGCACAAAACCACGATCATATTTTGCGCATGTTTTGCGCAGCTTGTCATTGAACAATGGCTCTGTGTAGTAAATGCTGCTCCATGTGAAAGCATGCACATGATGGAGATTTACCGTTGATTACAGAACTGGCTTTACTGACAAGATGCATATTAAATATTGCATGCGATTTATCGTGCAGCCCTATATATATATATACACAGTGGTGTGAAAAAGTTTTTGCCCCCTTCCTATTTTTTAAATTGTTTGCATATTTGTCACACTTAAAAGATTCAGATCATCAAACCAATTTTAATATTATGCAAAGATAATGCAAGTAAATACAAAATGCAGTTTTTAAATGATAATTTCATTTATTAAGGGAAAAAAGCTGTCCAAACCTACCTGGCCCTACGTGAAAAAATATTTGCCCCTCCTCTTAAATCATGAAAGAACTGTGATTAACCACATCATTTTAGAAAGCAGAATTAAATTTCACTAGCCACATGCAGGCCTGATTACTGCCAGACCTGTTGAATCAAGAAATCACTTAAATAGAACCTGTCTGACAAAGTGAAGCATGCTTAAAGAGCAACACATCATGCCGCGATCTAAAGAAATTCAAGAACAGATGAGAAACAAAATAGTTGACATGTATCAGTCTGGAAAGGGTTATGAAGCCATTTCTAAGGCTTTGGGACTCCAGCGAACCACGGTTAGAGCCATTATCCACAAATGGAGAAAGCTTGGAGTGGTGAAACTTCCCAGGAGTGGCCAGCCTACCATAATTACTCCAAGAGCGCAACAATGACTCATCCAGGAGGTCATAAAAGAACCCAGAACAACATCTAAAAACTGCAGGCCTCACTTGCCTCAATTAAGGTCAGCGTTCATGATTCAACAATAAGAAAGAGACTGGGCAAAAACGGCATCCATGGGAGAGTTCCAAGGCAAAAG